AACTAAATATATAGTTATTATATATTAGTCTCTTATATATTAGTTATTTTTATTTGTGGAATCGACACTGATTTTTGTGAGTTTATCTTTTTATATCCAGAAACCTTGTTGACCCTTCTTCTTAGTTATAGTAGTTTGTCTGTAGATTCTCTTGAACTTTTTGTACAGACCCTTATCTCATCTTCAAATAAAGATAGTTTTATTTCCTTTCCTATTGCAGGTTTAATGTCGTGTATGGGGTTCAGACTTTATTCTGTATCAAATTAGGAGCCTTTGAAGGCTTTACATAGAGAAGCGACATTTAAATATTTACATTTTAGAAAAACAATTTTGGTAGCCAGATGATGGTGTGAATATAAACAAGGGATCAGTTAGGAGACGTTATTATTATAGTCACAAGATATTGCAAACCCCACCTTGGCTAGTAGCAGAAGGGAAGGAAGGGCAGAGATAAGTTTAAGACATAACTGAGAATTAGGATCGAAGGGGCGAGACAAATGAGTCAATATGGGAGCTAAGATTCAGGAGTCAACCACGACACCTTGGTTTTAGCTTATGAAACTGTAGTGGTATTTGTAAGAGGAGGAGCAAGTTTAGCAACAAAACACCTGGTTTCAACAGGGCTAGGATAGATGTTTGGAGCCTATCTGTATGCAGATAATCATTCTCCGTGATTTGATTTGAGTAGCGTTTCCCTCAGTTTGTCCTTCTGAAATCTCCATGTAGATAAGTATCAGCCTGACACAGAGCTTCCAGTGACCCAGAGGTTGGAGTGTGAGCTTGATTTATTAGATGCGGATATCCTTCCGGAAGAAGCCCCACTTATTCCAGACCAAAGTGCAAGCTTCAAAGACGAGGCAATAGCCCCGGCAAAAACAAAAGCAGCAAAACAGAAGTCTGTGACTGAGAATGTGCCATTTAGGAAGAAAGATACTCTGGCGCCAGCAAGACTACAGCAAGTATGAAATCATTCCTTTCTTTGGGCCAATTTATATTAATCTGACATTGTCCAAGATCACACAAGCTAGTGTGCAGTGGAGCCAGGATTTGAGTTCTCAGGCATTTGGATGCTAGAGCCCTTGTGTCTAACTTCTAAGCTGACTGAACATAGCTCTAAGTTGTTTTTATATTTTAACAACAAATAAAAATTTTTAATATTGTTACTAGAACAGGGCATTCTCTCATGTCCTGGCTCAGTAAGATCCCAACTAATTTGATACCAAGATCCTAATCAGGCAGACTATTTTAAAATTAAATTTTTTTCTGCTTCTGACTTGGAAATTAAGATTTGAGGGGGTTAAGATTTGGTTCCTGCTAAAGGTAAATTTTGATCAATAGTAATCACTGAATATTAAAAGACATTCTAGGGTAAGTGCTTTCTCAGATGGCTGTCAGAGGCAGTTGGGTAGTTAGAACTTGGTTTGAAACTACGTTATATTTTAAGCTTCTCTTTGAAACTTACTTAAGGCCCTACCAGTGGAAAATCGGCCAGAAGACCACCTCCCAGTCTAAATACCCTTATTGTAGTTACTGCCATTTGCTAGTACTGTCCAAAGGCTTTTGTAGCAAACCGATATATTGTCAGGTGGACTCAGAAAAAGGAGATTCAGCAGTTATCACCAGTTACTGACTTTATTCCTTCCCAAACAAACTCTTTTGGAGGTCATTGGGAAGTCAGGATTGAACCTCTGAGAATTCAGCTTGGTGCTAAGAATTTAGCTTAGTAGCAAATTTACCTCTAAAGAATATGGTATAACAAATTTTTGGTTTAATTAGGAAAAAATTATAAATAAATAAAAATATATTTTATATATAGTTTATATAAGTGACAGAGCCAGGGATTTTAATTCTACATCCTTCATCCCCACCTCCTGCCAAGGTTGTTTCAGTATAATATGTACCTTCCCCCAAATTTCTCCCATAGTGCTTTCTCCTTAGGTTTTACTGAATGGGTACAGGTGTAGCGTAGAGACACTTGGAGCTTCAGTGAGTCAAAGGTTGAAACCAGTGTTTCTTTGGTACTCATTTGGTTTTATAATTTATGCTTATCTCTTACAGGGATTCCACAAAGCTGAAAGAAGTAAACAAACCCAACCTCACAGTAAAAGCAGGTTGCAACAGACAACAGTCTCATCCAGGTTAAAAATGAACCGACAGCTGGTGAAAGACCACAGGGCTCCGTGGATACCTCCAAACCCCACGTCCCCACCGGCATCTCCTAAATGGTATGTAAAAATTCAAGGGACTATTTGGGTATGTGATTTTATTTTTCCTCCACAGATCAAAGGTGACTATAGCGTAGAGCAAATGAAGTAGCAGCCTTAATTCTCCCCATTAAGAAGAAATGCTTATTTGAGTGAGTAATACATGAGAATTTTCTGTCTAGAAGCCTTTCGGTTCCTTTTCTCCCTGACTATGTGGTTAGCGTGACCTCCCGTGGGCTAGCCCAGCCCAGTGGACATGTGTCGTCGTGTGGAGGATGGTGGACTTCCCTTCACTTGTCTCTTCCCACAACAGATTCTAGTTATTTGAGGCCAGGGACTGTTTGTCTTTCTTATACTTGAATGTCCAGTGCCTGGCACATAGTAGGCATTCAGTAAATCTTTGCTGAAGGAATAAATATTTTAAAATAATTCTAATTCCAAGTCAAGATAATTATAAAGTATAAAACCATATAGATTTCGTTAACAGTCTTAACTGCAGGGGACAGTTAGGATAATGCTGACATTACTGTCCTGTCACTTTCATTCACAGCACATGGAAAATGAGGAATTGTCATTCCACAGGGCTAGAAAGAAGGGGAGCAGGGTCGAGTTAGGTGCAAATAGTCTTTTGGGGAAATGGTTCAAAGGTAAGGAGAGCTTGTTTGCCATGGGACAATAGTTCTTGAAAACACAGTTGAAAGAACAAGGAGATGGAACAGAAAAAAGAGGGAAGCATAAAGCAGTAACACGAAGGGAGGACAAGGGGGAGGCTCTGCCTTTGGGAGCTGTCAGAAGTCAGGGCGAGCAGCCTGGCGGAAGAGATGCTCCTAAGATTCTGACTGGTTCTGAAGGAGTGGTTGTGTTCATCCATCAGCCCTTATTTTAAAGTTGCAGAAACAATGTTTAGAGGATTTAATGTCTTGCTGATATAACAGAGCAGGGGACAAAATTAGGTCTTCTGACTTCATAATGTGTTTTTTTGTTTTTATTACTCTGTTCTGTTTTCTGTATTTTTGTATATAAGTATTAATACGGAATTGTGCGTTCAATTAGTAAGCTCACAAAAACATGCATTGGTTGAAGTTTGTATTGCAAACCAAATATATGGTGGACTGTCTTTCAGAGCGAGTGAGTGGTAGGTGGAGGAGGGGGCAGATGAGGCTTCTAGGCTTACAGTGTTGTGTTAGGCCTTATTAAGGTACAGAATTACCTTGTAATATAGGGTGCAATGAGTGATCCTTATCTATATAACAGGATTTTATTGAAGTTCACCAAGTATTCTGTAATTAACCATTGTTTTTCATTTAAAATAGTGATTGCTTTATTGAAGCAAAGGAAAATTTCTTCCTTTTGACCCTGAGCCTGAGTGCTGGAGGATCTCACTCTTCTTCACACTCAGCTTGCAATTTAGGGCCCTATGCTATAGATCACCATTAACTTAATGCTCTCATCTTCTCTGGGCTGGCACCTATTTGGATGAGTTATTGGACATGGAGTGAGTGATCACAAAGGTGTACTTTTCCATTTTTGCAGTGCTGCATGGCTAAAGGTGAAATCGAGCCCTACAGATGCCACAAAAGAATCTCTCCAGCAAGAAGTTACTCAAAAGGAAGATCAATTGAGAGGTGCTATTGAGCACGAAGCAGCCAGGTTTGTGCTGGTATTTTTCAAATCTTTAAAAATTAAAGGGCTACTTTTGCATAGACTCTGAAGCAAAACCTTTCTTCCCTTTCTTATGTGTAAAGTTGGCTATTTAAAATGTAGATTATTAAATTTTTTTGTCAAACAATACAGCATACTGTGAGCCCCTCTTTTATTCCTTCTTATTTCATTCATTCAAAAATTATATGCATGTCAATTGTATACCAGTTGCTCGTTTCGTAGTAGCACAGTTGTGAGCTCTATGGAGACTTTTTAAATAAGATATCTCAGCCTCTGCTTAGTTAACAGTCAGTAGAGAAGATATGTAATTAACTATAATTTAAGACGGAACGTGGTATATAACCTGAGAACTGAGAGAGTAGAAGGGAAAGAAGTTACTTCTTGCCACAGAGGTCCAGGTTTCATGGAGGGAGATGGAAGTTAAGCTAGAACTTACAGAACAGGCAGGATTTCAGTATGGGGGGATGAGGCAAGAACATCTTATAGGAAGAGAACAGTGAAAACAGGTTGCTCTGCGTTTGCTTGGCTGAAATTATTCTTGCATTTATGGGAAAGCAAAAATGAAAGTGGGCCATTAAATAATTTGATAATATTCACATGTCCAAAAGAATCAAAGCCCTTTCACATACTATAAATTTGTACACAGTTAATTTTTCCCTTCTGTTTTTATTTGACCTCACTATGCCTGTACTGCTTTCCTGGGGGTCCATTTTTTCCATCTAAACTTGATACAGCAAGATCTTTGTTTTAGTCTAACAAGAAATCCTAAGTATAGTGATAGCTAGTTTTCTTGACCCTTCTCAGGGGATTTCTTGTTGCTTTACACACTAACTCAGAGTGCTTTTGTACATACATATCTTTGTAAGTGGAACATGACCCGGAGAGCTTTATGGGTACAGAGAGGTTACACTATCACTGAGTCCCTCAGTGGAGCCAGGATTGGCGCTGTGGGGGGATCCTAACGTCTGGTCTGTTTTTGTGGTAATGGCACCCTACAGTGTGAAGGCAGAACGGGTTTGACTCTTGACTATCTGCTAGGCTCGCTTGGCTTGATGCTGAAACTTCCAAAAGATTAAAGGAACTAGAAGAATTAAAAGCCACAGAAATGGACAAAATGCAAAAACAGAGGTAAATATTTGTTCCTGAGGTAGAAAAAGGTAAGTGGGCCTATTCTACATCATCTAATTATTTTAACAGCGAATCGAGATTGGGTGGGTCTAGCTACACTTCTTAAGTTTATTGGCTATCTGTTTCCTTAGAGGACTGTGAAGTCACCTAACGAGCCTATAATGTAGCCAAGATTGGAGCCCAGGGGAGTCCTGACTCTGCTTTGAGGAGAGTAGGGTGACTCTTTGTGCTGTTCTCTAGGCTTGACTGGCTTGATGCTGAAACTTCTAGAAGAACAAAGGAACTAAATGAACTCAAAACTGAAGAAACGGATAGACTTCAAAAATTGAGGTATGCGTTTGCTTCTGAAGAATAGTGGATGCTTGCCTGTTCTAGTTGATCTAAATAGTTTTAACAACTGACCTGGAGTATTTAAGCTTAACTTCCTTACATGGATGAGTGAATGAATGAATGAATATCTGCATGCCTGCATGTATATTATACCATACTTTTGTTAGGAAATGTTTCTTTGTGGAGTTTGAAGGAGAGCTGAAAAAACATCTAAAATTTTGAGGAGGTTCTATTTGAAAGATCAGGGTCTTAATATTTGTTTATTTTACTATGCTCAAAGATGTTTTTCTCTAGCCAGATGCCCTTCATTCTCAGCATAGCAGGTTAGTGTGATGTCTATGTTCTGCTCACGAGTGAATGTGCAGATACTTTTATTTCGCATGTTAGCTTGAATGACGCCTGAGGTTTCAAATACAGTTGCCTTTTCCATTCACTTTCTAAGAGCATTACCACCTAACTGTAGGCACAAAGAAGCCTGTTAAAAGATTTAGTTGAGCTGCTACAATTGGCTCATTTTTTCAGTTCTGATAATAATTCATCCTGCAGTCAGATTAACAGAATAATCATTGAAAACCTCTGTGCATTCTGTCACCATTCATCATGGAGTGTTCAGTCTCAGGTTAGAAGGGCTGTCATTCTGTCATTAGAGGGCCAAGGTTTTTTGTCCATAGTTGAGATTTCAAGTCATACAATCACAGAATCTTAGGATTTGAAGAATCTTTTTTCCTTAACTGATGTTTTCAGCCCCTCTACGCTGTCTCCACAAAGTAACTGTCCAGCATATTCATACACACACTCTGTGATGGGATGGTCACTACCATCTGAGGGAGTCCCTTTCTTGGTCATCTGTAGCTATTAGAAGGTGCTACCTTAGATTGTGCTGAAATTTGATTCCTTATGACTCCTACCCACTTGTCTTTTGGGCCTTATGGTGAAAGCTTAATCTTCTGCACCCTATTTTATCCCTTTGTGTGTTTTTTTATTAAAAACTGAACATATCATACATATAGAAGAACATACTAAATGCATATGTACAATCCAAAATATTACCAAATGAGCATGCTTGTACCACCACCACAAGCCAAGAAATAGATCATTGCTGCTACTCTAGAAGTTTCCAGTATGTCTGTCCATAGTTGCATCCCCTTCCCCCGCCGAGGCAACCACTGTCCTGATTCTTGTGTTAATCTTTTCATTACTCTTTTTCATAAGTCTGTCACCTGTGCAGTCTCCCTAACAATACATTGTTTAATTTCGAAAACTGAGAAACAAGCATAAACCTGGCTGAACAAGGAAAGGGCAATGTAGCTGGTATCAGACGAAGACTCGCAGGGAAAATAAGTTGAACAGAGTCTGGATGGTAATCTGACTTGTGCTTCCCTGAGAGCCCATCTCAGGAAGTCAGCTGTTCTGCATTGAGCAAATGTGGGGCTTACCACATCTCAGGGGCTGTACGTGAACCAGGTGCACTGGACTTCAGGGACAAGCCTGGTCAGTGGAATGGGTTATCCTGTTTTGCTCTGCTTCTCAGCTCTTTCTGGGGATGAGTAGGGATGAGTGAGTGTCTTCATCAGAAGGCAGGTCATAGAGAACAGAAACGTCATCAGCAAAAGGGCAAGACAAGCCAGGAGTCTAGGCCAGGCTTGCTTGTATGGTTGGATCTCCTATTTCCCATACGTTTTTGTAATCTTCCTCAGTTTACTTGCTTGTTTTGATGAAGCGCATCCTAATTTAGCTTCTTGAGAAAGGATGAATGGGAAATCTTTTGACATCTTTCAAGTCTAAAAATGGCTTTATTTACTGATAAAACTTACTGCCCTCATATTTGCTGTTAGCCGTACTGGTTATAGAATTCTTAATTGCAGATTATTTTTATTGGAAATTTTTAAATTTTTATTGTGAGCTAATCATGGAGACACATGAAGTTATAATACAGAGATATCTTGGGTCGCCTTTACTCAGTTCCCCCCAGTGGTAACGTCTTTGGAAACTATAGTATAGTATCGTAACCAGGTTATTGACAGTGATACAGTCAAGATACAGAACGTTTCCATCGTCACCACAAGGATCCCTCCTGTTGCCCTTTTATAGCCACACCTACTTCTCTCCTGCCCGCATCCGCTGCTTGGCTAAGTAACCAGTGGCAACTACTCATCTGTTGTCCCTACTTAAAATGTTGTTATTTCAAGAGTGTTATATAAATGGAGGTATATAATCTTCTGGGATTGACTTTTTTTTCCTTACATAATTCTCTGGAGATTCATCTGGCTCATTGCATGTATCAGTAGCTCTTTCCTTCTTGTTGCTGAGTAGTAGTCCATGGTTTAGATATGCCATAGTTTGTTTAACCATTCGTCTGTTAAAGAACATCTGGGTTGTTTCCAGTTTTTGGCTATTATGAATAAAGTTTCTGTAAACATTTGCTTACAGGTATTTATGTGAACATAAGTTTTCATTTTTTTCTGGGATAAATGCCCAGAGTGCAATTGCTCTGTTGTATGATAGTTGTACATTTTGTTTCTTTTACCAAACTGCCATACCATTTTCCAGAATGGCTCTCTGTCCCCAGCAACAATGTTTGAGGGATTCAGCTGTTCTGCATTTTTGCCAGCATTTGGTAGCATCACTACGTTTTCTTTTAGACATTCTGGTGAATGTGCAGTGGTATCTCATTGTGATTTTAGTTTGTATTTCCTTAATAGCTAATGCTGCTGAACATCTTTTCATGTGCTTGTTTGCTCTCCACTCACTCTTTGCTGGCATGTGGCCATAGGTTTTTCTGTGGTGTTGGGTGGCAGTAGCGCAGTTATTTTCTGAAAGTTTTCCATCTCCCTAGGCTGCCACTTTCTTGGTCCTTTGGCTCGAGAGAGCTTTTATTGATTGTTTGTTTGTTTGTTCGTTTTGTTTTGTTCGTCTGCACCTCTTGGTGTTTCTGGGTTGCCAGCTTCTCCAATACCTAGTCTGAAATATATGAGGCAAAAAGAAAACTCAGGGAACTCAGTACCATGTCATTCTTTGGGCCCCAGTGTGCCTAGCTGGCCTGCCTTCTCTACATCTTTCCTAGTCTTCTTATGTTTGTTTGTATTTCATGTCCAAGGTTGTTAGTTATACTTAACAGGAAGATAGGGGAAAGTACATTTATTCCACCACTCCAGAAGCAGAAATCTGATCAGAGTTTTTAAAGCATCGTTTCATTGTCTTGTTTCCAATAAGAAATCTGAATTCTGCTTTTTATCCTTCATTAGAAGCTTACGTATAGACTCCTCTTTCTCCCCAGTGTTCTGAAATTTCATAGTGATAGGACTTAGTATGGGTGTATTTTCCTTCATCAGTGGACTTTTTCAATATGGCAATTTATGTCCTTCTGAGAAATTTTGGAGAAAATTTCTTGCTTTATTTTGCACTTGTTTTTCTTCCCTCAGTTTTCTCTGTCCTCTCTTTCTGAAACTCTTGTTCTTTAGTGTTGGACTTCCCAAATTGGTCCTCTGATTTTCTTATCTTTTTTTTTCTATTTTCTTTCTCTCTCTCTCTTTCCTTCTCTTCTTCTCTTTCCTTCCTGCAGCCCTACCTTGCCCCAGGAGATTTTTTCAAACTTACTATCTAGCCTGGCTATTGAGTTTATTATTTCTGCTATAGTATTTTTAAAGTTTAAGAGCTCTATTATATCTCCAGATTTCTCTTACTTAATAGTCTTTTATCTTTCTTTTATGGGTACAGTGCAATTCTCTTTCTCTCTGAGTATATTAACAATAGTTTTTTTCCCCTTTGCCCTACATAATCTCTTTCTTTTCCTTCCTCAGATATCTAGTACTCCTGGGCTATCTTCTGGTGTTTAAATGTAGGGGACTGACTGCTGATCAAAAACTCGGAGCATATGGGTTGGACTTAGTATTTTAATTTTAGGGTTTTTTTCTTTTTGTTATGTTATAATTTAGATGTAGTAAAATGCAAAGAACTTAAAGGTATAGTTCAGTGAATTTTGACAAATGTATATACCTGGGTAACCAAAACCCTAATCAAGATAAAGAGTATGTCCATCAACTTAGAAAGTTCCCACATGTCCTTTCTGGTCATTCCTTACGCCACATTACCCCTGACGCTCACAGAGGCAGCTACTTTCTGATTTCTTTCACCATAAGTCATCTTCCCTGTTTTTGGACTTCACATAAATAGAATCATCAAGATCTGCTCCTTAATCATCTGTACCCCCATAATATGCTGAAATAAAAAAAAAAAAAAGAAAAAGATCTGCTCCTTTGTGTCTGGCTTCTTTTGCTCAACACAATCTTTGAGATTCATCCACGTTGTACATAAATCAGTATAGTTTATCCATTTTGTTGCAGATTAGTATTCTGTGTGTGGAATACTCAACTACTCAATACATGTTTATTGATTCTCCTATGAATTAACATTTGGGTGGTTTCTCATTTTTAGTTAGTATGAATAAAGCTGCTATAAATACATTCTTACAAAAGACTTTTCTTAGAAATAAGCTTTCATTTCTCTTGGGTAAATACCTAGGAGTAGAATTTCTGGGTCACAGGTTACACAATTGTTTAACTTTGTGAAACTGACCATAGACATATTCCAGAGTAGTTGTAACATTTTATACTCCCACTGGCAATGCATGGGAGTTCCTTTCTAGTCGGTCCACATCCTAGCTAACATTTGATGTTGTCAGTCTTTTTAATTTTAGTCATTCTGGGGAGAATGTGGTAGTATCTCCTTGTGGTTTTAATTTGCATTTCCTTGAAGACTGACGATAATGGGCACCTTTTCTAGTGCTAATTGTGAAGTGTCTATTCAAGTCTTTTGCCCATTTTTTATTGTTTTTTTAAAATTATTGATTTGAGGTCTTTTTATTTTCTAGATATGAGCCCCTTGCCAGATACATGTACAACAAATATTTTCTCCCAGTACTGTGACTTGCCTTCTTTATTTTTATTTTTTGTAGAGATGGGGTCCCACTATGTTTCCCAGGCTGGTCTTGAACTCTTGGCTTCAAGGAATCCTCCCACCTCAGCCTCCCGAAATGCTGGGATTATAGGCGTGAACCACCGCGCCTGGTCATTGCCTGTATATCTTCTTAATGGTGTCTCTTGATGACTAGACATTTTAAATTCTGATTAAGACCAGTTTATCAATTTTTCTTTTATGGTTAGTCTTTTTTGGTGAACTGTCTAAGAAATCATTCCCTATGTTAATAAGAAAACACATTCTCCTATGTTTTAATTGCTTTATTATTTTACCTTTTATTTTTATGTCTGTGATACATTTTGAATTCATTTTTGTGTATGAGATGAGATACTGATCTTGGCTATCTGACTATTCCAGCACCATCAGATGAAAGAATTAGCAAACTTGCACTTTACTCTAGGGTCATCTGGGTGGGGTCTTTGTTAAGGACCTTCATGTGGATCATGAGGTCTTTCCTTTGGGATGGGTCAGACGGCCCAGAGAAGAGAGTCCTGATCTTCTACCCAGAGAGTAAGGATCTGGATGTTGGTGTCCTAGGAGCTGAGTGAGGAAGTTAGCTGTGAGTCTAACCACTTAGCATTATGCATGCATGTATGACACCACCCCCTGTTTTCAGTATGGTACCTACAGCCTCAGCTGTGATTGGCTGCCCCTAGTCAAGAGACCCTCCAGAGAATGAGCAACCAGACTTCTCTTAGAATTGGAGATAGGCAGTTGTGTGAAGTAGGGAAAGGGACCAGGGGGTCTAACTGCTCAAACATCACTTGACTCATGTCTTAATTTTTTAAGCTACCCTCTCCCAGCTTAGCCCAGGCCTAGATATAGCTGCTACTACCAGTCGTGTGCTTGGCTAAGTCAGCAGTGCAAATTGTGTGGGTTCTCAGTTTTTCCCATTACTGGCCTAGAAGTCAGCTTTCTCAGGTCAGCTAAAGTAGTAAAGTAGCTATTTTGTCCTTTGTTTTCCAGGACCATTTTTTTATTTCTCCTTGTCTTTGTGGGTTTATACCTAACTCTACTATTGTTTTACTGGGGTTTGGGGGAGGGAACAAAATTAGTTTAGTTTTGTTCAGTCTACTAAACTCTTTAGTTGTTTAAAGGCACCATTATCTTTTTAAAGTATATTCTAAGCCTAACACACTTTTTCAGATCTTTCCTAAACCCCTGTGCACAAAGTGAGGTCCAGGACCAGCGGTGTTGCCTCATCTGGGAGCTTGTTGGAAATGCAGAGTCTCAGGCTTCACTCAGACCACCTGAATCAGAATCTGCATTTCAGCAAGATCCCCAGGAGATTTGTATGGCTATTCACGTTTAGAGAAGCTCTGTAGTTTTTATAATCATTCGATTTCCCTTCGGTGGGAGTGATAAATAATATGCAAAATATGATATTTTTTTTGCTTTTGATTTTAATTTTCAATTTCATTTCTAAATAGTGTTTCTGCCACCCAGTTAGACAAGGTTGAGGAGTCAGTTCTGGAGCATTTGAAGCCTCTCTTGGCTAAGGCCCAGGTAATCTAGTTCATCTCATTTGCTTGCCTTTCGGAAGTTCTGGAGTAGAAAGAGTTACTACAGAGGTCACACTGACTCACCCCCAGACCACCGCACATTATTGGTGTGTCCTTCATTGTGGGGAAGGGGTAAACTAAAGATAAGGGGAAGAGAGAAGAGTCCCACTTTTGAAAAAGGTGAGGTTGCAGTTTGGGGAACAAATTCATATTGTAGTCTTCATTATCAAATAGATCCATTTGTGATGTCAGTGTTCAATTAACTGCTTCCATTTTAATGTGCTCTTTTATCTCAATGGTTTGGAACAATTGGTTCTATTTTTCCAAAGGAGGGAGATGTTAGGACAGCTTCTGTGCACAAACCAGTCCTTTCTCGAAGATAAAATTACATATGGCATCACCATGGGGTTGTGCCATCCTCCTGTAAGCACTAAGCCAAATTCTGTAGCCAGACCCTGTAGAGCCACCCTGTAAATAGAAGCAGTCTTGTTTGTACGAATAGAGGAGGCCACAGAAGAATGTTATAATTTAAAATGCAATGAATGACATTCTGGGTCCCTGAACAAGCCACTGAACTTCTATATTTCTAGTTTGAGAACTGTTAAATTATTATTAGAGTCCATGGAAATCTCAAGAGTATAGAACTAAAGAGGGCTCTAAGAGATTGAATAGTCCAGTTTCCTCATGGTATCATCGAGGAAACTGTACAACAGAGAAGTTGAATGACTTGCATAAAAAGCGCACAGCTACTCTGACAATGTTTACAAAGTTGAGGGAAGAAAGAGTGGAAAGCCAAAACCCACACATGGCATTTATTTTCATGAAGACAAAGTGCTTTGAATTGCTGCAAAAAGCCTAATGTAGCTAAAGCTGATGAATAGTTCCACACAGAAGTTATTCTGGTAACAAAATTCATTTGTACTAATGTGAGCTGTAAATTTCTATAATCCATGAATGTATTTATCTGTTTTAATAGAGAGTCAATTCTTCTACAGAAGCAAATAATCATTTGAAGGATGGTCCATCAGTAAACACAGCAACAGCCCAGCCTGCACGGGAGGTATGTGTTGTGTGCTGTTGATATTCTGGTATTATTACATGATAATGTCTTCAGTTGTAATGAAAATGGTATGCAGATTGCTTTGCAAACACTAGATTATCCTACTCAAGAAGGGGGAAAATTATTTTTCACATTTGGCATGTTAATTCTTATGTGTATATTTAGCATTATGACTTAGATCAGCCTTGCAAACAATGCACAGAAATCTCTAGAGCCACAGTTTTCATCAGTGGCTCTTTATCGCTCCTCCTGATGACAGAATGTGCATGCCCTGTGTGGCCCTGAATGTTGATGGCCTGTGGCAGCAGAATAGCTGTCCTCATTTCCTTTCATTCATCCTAGTTTCACTCATTACTGGCCTGATTTCCTTTATACTTAGGCCCTAATATTTATTGTTAGGCAGGCTTGTCCTGAGTGCCTAATATGTGACCAGTAACTGGCCTAGCAGAGAGAAAAGGCAGCCTGGAGAAAAAATGAGAACATTTGAGAAAAATAAAACCATTTTTTTGTTGTCTACCCTGTACTCTTCCTCTGGAGGACTTGTTTTTAATATTTGTAGAAATGTTCCTACCTTGCCTAGGCTTAGGGCTGCAGACTAAAAGGTGCAAGTTACATTTATTTAATCGTTGTGGATGTTGGAAAGACGTTTATCGCGTTAGTTGCCCAGAGCACATAAAGGGAAGAGCAAATATAGAGGTTTCAGAGTTAGAAGGAAGCTGGAATGAAGTTCCACCAGTTCAATGACCTTAGGAACAGGAAGGAAATAGGTTTTGAGAATACATCTCTATTCTAATTATTAAGCAATATTTTAGCTGCGGTAGATTTCCATAATCTCTATAGTAATTATAATTTAATCATACCAATATTTTTGTGACAGAATCTCCTGTGAGGTGAGGCTTCTAAGACTGGAAGCTATAAAAGCCTGCATTCAGCCATTACAAATTTTCAG